CGGCTACATGAGTTTTAAAATATCGGCATATCGGATATCGGCCAAAATCCCAATATCGTGCATCCCTAATAAATATGACTGTTGCAAAGTCAACAATTGCAGCTGACTGAAAGTCAACCACAGGATGCAATCAGCTGGGTTTCCTTAGATGGGAAACATTTAAGCTACTAGTCTGGATGATCTAATTTTATTGTCTATATAAAATGTCTAGACATGGTGTGTGATGTGAATTATAAATAACCTAAATTATTATTAAGGTTGCTTTAAAATTAATCAGGTAGAATATAATAAACATGCAGCTTGTTCAACGTTTGGGTGAATGTGGTTCCAGTGCAGGGGTCCAAAGTGCGGCCAAAGGGCCATTTGGGCCCCTCTTTAGGTGGGCCCCATCAGTAAACAAATCAATTTGGTTTGCCCGTTTAGGCAGCTGATGATGCAAAAATAATAATTTCTTTCAAAAACAACCGAAAATTTCATAAAAACCCTCTTAAAATGTAAAACATGATTTAAAACATTATTTTAATGTTTTCGGTCTTGTTTTGCTTTTGTTTAATTACAATGAGGTCTATTTAAGGTGGGAAAATAAAGCAGGAGTGAGGCATGTCCTTGTTGCTAATAAGACAACAAATCTAGAAAAACAATGGTCACTGTGCTGTGGTTTATTTTTTAATCTGGCAAACGTGCAAAACTCTACGATAGCTGCAATAATTGGACCCTCATTTGATTATTTTGTTAAAATATTGAGTGATCAATTCAATGCTCAATGAGTTTAAAACAAAAATAAGAGAATTTATGAAATCTTTATGAAAAATTAATGCTTTCAAAAAGTTTGGACATTGCTGCTGTGTTCTGAGGAGCTTTCAGAGGTCAGAGGGCAAGTCCTAAATATATTAATTCCCTCCATCTATGACCAACATGCTCAGTGCAAAAACAGTCTCAGCTGCACAGAAACGGGGTCATCCCCTGTTGTATATGAAGTAGTGAATTACTTTATTTATGCATTTTTCTATGAAAGTCATATTATTTTAAGTTTTCAAATTTATTACACACCCTTTTATCTTTAAATGTTTCTATAATTTCAGCTGTGTTAAATCCAATCTAACCAACATCATGTGTGTTTTTTGAACTTGTGAACTTTTGGCTATGACACGATTTCAATAACATCCGTCCTATCAAAGACGTGACCACATCCCAACGGCGGAGCCCTCGGAGAAAACAGCAGCTGAATCATATAGCTGGAAAGGAATCAAGATAAAGCATGAACTGAAGAAAGAAAGAAAGAGAGAGGGGGGATAGAGACAGAGTGGAGCGTGTAAAAGTATGACTTCAAGAAAGTAAAGGAAGAGTCTAGTCTTTCTCACTCTTTCCCTCCTACACAAGCAGTAAAGTTTTAACAGGGCACAGCTGTACACACCTGGGGTCCTGGCGCACACTTTTACAGCTCCCACAGTTCCCGAGGCACATTTCACCATTGAGCGGCTGCAGAACTTCAGCTCCAGATTTTGGACCAAGCCCTCGAGAGTCGGTGACGGGCCTGGATATTTCACACCTAATAAAAAAAAGCGGAATATGAAATGCAGTCCTGCAACTTTAAAAAGCTTCTTATGTGGCTTTTCTAGTATGGAGTGAATTTTGTTCCATTATTATTGCAAGCAAAGAGCATGTTTTGTAAATGGATATAAAAACAAATAATACAATCCAGAAATAAAATTTTGAAGTTCTTAATCAAGAGAAGGGGAAAGTAACCATCTCATTTTCTCTAATTCATTTCTGATTTGTTTCAGCTATTCTTTTACATCTTACAAAAAATTTGATGTTATCTTTTTAACTTCCCGTTTTTGCATTAGTTTTACTTATTGCATCGTCCATTCACTTTTACAGCCCAATACAAAAATAGTGTAAACGTCCAAGCAGTCCAATAGGAATGCATCTGCAGAACAAAGTAAAGCCCGTCCCAGAAGAGAAGAGAATATAATCTGTAAAACAAATAAGGAAAAGAACAAAATTCGCAAAAACTTAATAAAACAGAAAAAAAACAATTCAAATATAATATCTATAAAAAACAAACTTTTTTAAAATGAAAATGTTAATTACAATAAAGTCAAAGAAAACAGCAATGTTAGCCTTAAAACTTTTTTTTTTTAGAATTCTAAAA